GGTGTATACGGTGTAGTTAGTTCATGATACGGATAATAGTTTACCAATTTTGATGCATTTGAAGCATATCTGCAGGTTGGATGGGGAGCATGTTGTGTTTGGTAAGGTAATTCAGGGAATGGACACTGTATACGCAATAGAAGGGGGAGCAGGAACCTATAGCGGGAAACCCAGGAAAAACGTTGTTATTACTGGCTCAGGTGAGATACCCTTAAGCAAATGGAATAAGCAAACTGGCAAATCTCGCCGAATGGGCCTGCACCAGTTAACATCCATTTTAATGTGAAGAGGAAACCCATCGACTCCATGGGATTGGAGGTGAGATAGCATCTTGTTTTGGCGCTGATCTGATGGATGATGCGTCTTATCATGATCATTCATGTCGATAGATGGAATTAATTCATGCATGATTTTGCCAGGTGGCATCAGTTTTGGGGCTGCTATTATTAATTATTACTGTGGAAGAAGCTTAGGGGTTTGTTTACTGTTACATACATGTAGGCCCTACTTTGGCAATCAACTGCAACTGGTACAAGTCTTCCTTCAACAAAGAAGAAAGAAAAGTTCGAAGCTACTGTCATTGGCATCCATTCTCGGGGGAGCTTTTTGGGTGAGGATTGGCGGTCTGCCTAGGTGTTGGTTGATCAAATGTCTGTGAGTGGCGAGGGCCAATCCATGCTTTGTTTTGCTAATCATTCTTTCAAATCCTATGGGTAGCAAATGTCGTCTTCCTGCTTGGTGGGGCTAATATTACTTTAGACTCCTGTAAAATTTTTACTCGGTTCATTTTTTTTTCAATCGTATGGTCTATTTTTTAATTAATTGGATATTGGAGTGTTCAACCCTCTTTAAACAGCTATGTTGTGCCCAATTTCAGAGGATCGGATTGAACTGGCCAGTCAGAACGAAAAAACGTTGAGCCAGTCCACTAGCCAGTTCGGTCATACCTTAAAAACTGGAAATGATTAAAAAAAAAAAGGTAAAACTAGTAGATCAGTCAATCCAACCGGTGCACCGATGGTTTGGTCCTGCTTTTCTAAATTGGTTGTTTCTTTTTAATTTTAAATTCCTATATACAAACTTTTGAAGACTTTAACTTGGCTCCCAATCGCAGAAAAAATGCCATTTTCTATACAGAGAGAGAGAGATTTATCGGTCTTTTTGAACTGGTGATTCATGACCCAAGGGAAAAACAGTTCCACCGCTGGTTCGGGGTGAGAGCTTGGATCTCCTGCCCACAAGGATCCAATCTAGGTTTACCCACATAATACTAAAGTATTTATATATTACCATTTATGGGGAAATAGATGTTTCCAATATACAATTGTATGTATTATCATGTGGATAGAGGTGGGTAGGATTCTTATGGGCAGGAGACCCGGAGTTTTGGGAAGAATGTGTAGTATGGAGATGTGGGGCTTACAGCTTAATGCCTATGGTGGGACATGCATGAAAGTGTGAAACCAATGAATTCGGATTAGCTGAACAAGATGCCCACGTATCAAACAAACAAATGCAGGTGGAAGGTAGAACCAAAAGATGTCAGACTTTATGCGGGTCCCATTGGAGTTCAAACCAGTAGGGATATAAATGGATCGGATTGAGCTGCATCCACCTATTTTGGATTAGATTTGGATTTAATCCAAAACCATCCTATTGTAATTAAGATGACCTCAAAATAAAAAAGAAAAAAAGAAAAAAACTTTAAAAAATCTTAATCGTTTTTAATTTATATATAGGATTTTTTGCTCTAACAATTGTCATTTTGACCCTAAAGTTTCAAAAAGGACATTTTCATCCCCAAACTATGATTAAAAGGCCATTTTAAGACAACAAGACAATTTTAAAGATGCTCTTGACTGTTCCATTAGACAAATAATAAAACAATATGGCTTATTGATGTGACATTGTTCAAGTCAAAAAATATATTTGAAATTTTACACGTGGGTCCACATAAAATTTCTACTTGTCCACATGTGACCAAGAATAAAAACAAAATAATTATTTTTATTTAATAAATAATTCATAATTTATAATTTTTGTTTACTAATAATTCATTATTTTATTAATAATTTATCATTATTTAATTATTAAATAAATGCACATATTTTATTTTTTTATTTTTGTCACATAATTCATTAACTTATTAATAGTTAATTATTAAACAGAAGTAGTTATTTTGTTTTTATTTTTAACCAAATGTGAAATTTAAGTGGGACCCACCTGTTATTTTTTTCCTTGAAGTTACTTAAGTTAAAAGAGCATATTATGTTTTGTCTTATTAATAATTAATAATCATTAATTATTAAATAAAATAATAATCTTGGTCACATGTGAATAGGAGGAACTTTTATATGGGACCTGATGAGGGCAGATTTGGCCCTCCAATGAAATTGCGACACGTGGCACCTCGTGACAACTAGGCAAGCCCCCAGGTAACAACTTACCAAGTTGGTCCCCCCCCGGGCACCAGTCTGGCTGGCCTGGCGCGACCTGGCGCAGCCTGCGCGCGACCTACGCGC